TGTTATTCATTGTTACAAACATATGGTTGAATTCAATTGGCCAAAGAAAATTAATATTAAAGTAAATAAAATAGAAGCTCTATAGGGGACTTTGTTGCTTTGTAGAGGACTGAATTTATTTATTGGTACCATAAAATGTGCTTAAAGATTCACAAAGCTTTCTAGGTACAGAAAGAAGCAAGCAGGATAGTAATAGTTTTTAAATAAATTCGCAAAAATAAATTAATTGAAAACACTAAAATTAATCATCACGCATATGAATTAACAAGGGTTCTATTAAAAAACAAACAAGCAGTTCTTTTGCGTTTTAAAAAGGCTTAGTTGATGTTTCTTGACAATCATTAAGATTTTGGATGATTTTGTTGAATGAATCATCTGACCACAAATATATATATAATCAATATTTCATTTGCTTCGCACTCTTTCTTAAACAAAAATCTTTTTTTTTTACAAAAATGCCATCTATTATATCCTCAGTTGTGTTTATCAAGAGTGTGGGTGGAGGGAAGGCCTATACAGGCATTGTTTACAGTAGAATAGACAATGATAATGTTGAGGTCACGTTTCCAACAAATGAAAATATTACTAAAATAAACATTCAGAAAATCACTACAAACTTTGAAATTAACGTGTAAATGCCTCAAGGTATCAATTCCCACTGCAGAACGCTTTTTCTTCGACGGTTCATAATACCAAAGGCCTATGTGACTCTGAAAGTAGATGAAAATATGTTTGCACCATGTAGCAATGAGCGGGCTCCTTCTTGGAAATCCGCTAGTAGATAAGGAAGTCGTAGCTGAATATAGAAGGTTTAATTGACGATCCGCGAATAAATGAGAATTGTCGATCAATTTACTATTATAAAAAGGAAAATCCTATATACAGGACCGGTCCTGTGGCTGAATATACAGGACCTTCCTAATTTGGAAGTGGCACCTATGATCTGCGTGAACCCTTGCTAATTCATGTGCGTGATGAATAATATAATATAAATTTATTATTACACAGTGAGTCTCGATTTAACGGATATTTTTTTCCAGAAAATTTATCCGTTAAATCGAGAGATCCGCTAAATCGAAACTTATGATCAAATCATGTGATACAAATTAAATGTGTACAAAAAAAATTTTTTTTATTTTGTATATATATACATAAAAAACAGAATAATAATAATAATATCATTGTCAACTCGTAAATTCATCAATGCAACATTATTTTGCTTCTTGGGTGCTTCTATAAGAAATTTTCTCTTTTCAACTTCAATATATTTATATATTTTTAATTATTTGAGGATCAACTTCTAAATATTTTTGTTGTATATATTTAAGCGCATTTTCAACCATTTATAGCTTCTGTATTTGTTACAATTGGCTCGCTTATCTTATCAACACCCTCATTATCTTCAACTTCAGATTTCCCCAACACTATGTTTACAATTTCTTGTTCTGTCATTTCATAATAAATTCGTCAGCATTTAAAGAAATAAAAAAAAATGACATTATATACAAGTGCCATTGCCAAGAAATAGTTAACAATATGTTCGATTAAAATGTTGTTAATATTTAATATTAATAATACATCATTACGCTTATTTATTATACGCTTATTATTATAAAATTAGGCTATCCAAAAAAGGCAAGAATCATCATTATCCGTAATATCGAGAGAATTTTATTATAAGTGACATATATGGATTTTTAAAAAATATCAGCTAAATCGAATATATATGAAAATCCGTTAAATCCTTTAAATCGAGATAAAATAATTATAGAAAAATTTGGTTTTGAAAATTTATCCGTTAAACCCCTAAATCCACTAAATCGAGGTCCGTTAAATCGAGACCCACTGTGTATTTAAAAAAAAAAATCATGACATCATCATTATCAATGGTTTAACAAATTATGAGGAAGTTGTGTAGGATATGGGGGGCTGTAAAATAATACTGTTTAAGAAGTAAAAATAAAATTGTATTATTTTTACAATGAAATAAATGCTTCAAAATTTAATATTATTGATCTTCACAAGAATGACTCTTAAAATACAAATAACCAAAACCATCTTGTACAAAATATACAGAACTTATAGACGGAATATAGAACCCATATTATATACAAGACCCTCCTGTATATTTTCTTTATGGGCGGAATATACAGGACCCTCCTGTATATTTTTCCTTATGGACGGAATATACAAGACCCTCCTGTATATTTTCTTTATGGACGGAATATACAGGACCCTCCCTATATTTTCTTTATAGACGGAATATACAGGACCCTCCCTATATTTTCTTTATAGACGGAATATACAGGACCCTCCCCATATTTTCTTTATAAACGGAATATACAGGATCCTCCCCATATTTTCTTTATATATAGACGGAATATACAGGACCCTCCTGTATATTTCTTTATAGGCGGAATATACAGGACCCTCCTGTATATTTTTCTTTATAGGCGGAATATACAGGACCCTCCAGTATATTTTTCTTTATAGACGGAATATACAGGACCCTCCCCATATTTTCTTTATAAACGGAATATACAGGACCCTCCCTATATTTTCTTTATATATAGACGGAATATACAGGACCCTCCTGTATATTTTTCTTTATAGACGGAATATAGAACCCATATTATATACAGGACCCTCTTGTATATTTTCTTTACAAATGGAATATACAGTATCCATCTTAAATACAAGACCCATATTATATACAGGACCCATCTTAATACAGGACCCCTCTGTATATTTTTTCTTTATATACGGAATAAGGTCCCATATTATATATAGAGGACCCTCATGTATATTTCTTTATAGACAGAATATACAGGACCCTCCTGTATATTTTTTCTTTGTAGACGGAATAAGGTCCCATATTATATAGAGGACCCTCCTGTATATTTCTTTATAGACGGAATATACAGGACCCATCTTGTATATGATGTTCATTCATCTTTTCAATTGTTTATGATTATATTTTAGCATTCAATTATTTGTTATATATTGTTATTCATTGTTACAAACATATGGTTGAATTCAATTGGCCAAAGAAAATTAATATTAAAGTAAATAAAATAGAAGCTCTATAGGGGACTTTGTTGCTTTGTAGAGGACTGAATTTATTTATTGGTACCATAAAATGTGCTTAAAGATTCACAAAGCTTTCTAGGTACAGAAAGAAGCAAGCAGGATAGTAATAGTTTTTAAATAAATTCGCAAAAATAAATTAATTGAAAACACTAAAATTAATCATCACGCATATGAATTAACAAGGGTTCTATTAAAAAACATGCAGATCATAGGTGCCACTTCCAAATCAGGAAGGTCCTGTATATTTAGCCACAGGACCGGTCCTGTATATAGGATCACCCTTATTTTACAGACCAGAGTATATCTTGTCCTATTAGGTTTTTCCACCATAGATCCAATAACATAATTTACTGCTCTCTTCCATAATCTTTTAATGGGATCATTAATATTAAAGTCCTCATATGAGATATAATCATCATGAAATATTTTCCTATCCTTTGGAAAAGTAATTCACATGCGTTTTTTACTGCTTCCCTATATGCACATTTATAAGCATATCAATGAGCAACCATCATTTGGGGAGTAAACCCATTTATCACATTTATCTCTTTTAATATATGACTTGAGACACTTCTTGTCCTTGTTTTGAGCATAAGTATCAATTTTTTATACTTTTCATCTGAATCTCTGATTTGTGTAATCTTGTCAGAAGATGGTGCTCGCACCTTTTATCATACATAATAATAATAAATCTTGCACATATCATTTCCAAGATAACACAATAAATCTACCTCCTTACTGAGATCATTTATACATCAATAAATTCCATTCGATCCCCTATTTTTAGATTTATTTTATTACCGTGTAAATCAAAATCCATTTTAGCCTTTGTAACCACAAAGTTAAAGCAGTCTCCAGGACCTGGGATTTTATTTTTACAGACTTTTTTCATTCAGTCTATAAAACAATGAACATGTAAATTTTTATTAGGTCTCCATGTAGCTGTTTTTATAAATTGCTCAAATTTCCATTGTAATGTATTCATCATAGCCTCTCTGGTAACTTTTTCAACGATTTTGTGAAGTGAATCTTTATTTTCTATATCCAAAATTTCCCTCATAATTTTTTCACCTATAATTTTGAAAACTTCGGATTGACCTTGTGTTTTACAGTATCAATTCCTCTGTAACAATTTACATTTTTATCACGAGTGCAATGTACAAATAAAGAAATAACTAAACATTGTATTTTTATTAATTATATTCAGATAGATGAGATTATCTGTATTTTCTTATCATTATAAATAATATATCATTTTAAAAGAATAAAGAATAAAATATTTGTTTGTAGAAAAGTGTTTAATTCGTTTTTGAAGTAATTCTTCACAAATTATTTACAGGTTCCGTCTTTAATGATGAATTGATTAGAGATGTTATTAATTTGAAAAAAAAAAATTTTTTTTTGATGTTAATATTTATGATAATATTTAGTGATCACAATCATCATATTCATGAATATTCATTAAGGGGGTTACACTTATCAAAATCAAGTGATTGACACATAATTTTAAGGGATTTTTGGATTTTTGATAAGTGTAACCCCCTTAATGAATATTCATGAATATGATGATTGTGATCACTAATAATATTACACTAGAGTGCTGGTATGCATTAAACTGGGATTATAGTTAAACAAGAATTGTCAAAGGTGTTGAAAGCAAATTCTGAAATAGCAATACAATATCCAGAATTAAATGATTTAGTTGTCTATTATCAAGAAACTATTCAACATGTGATAAATTTTAAATTCCCTTTCAATTTATCTATTTTTTTTTTGAATTAAACATCACACAACTAATTATTGCATCATTAGGCAGGGCATTATTTGTATGTAGTTGGACCAGTGATTATAAATTGGAGTCAAATGTTGTCATTTAGAAATCAACTTCATAATAAAATAAAATCAAAAATCTACTTAATATTATGGATATTGTCAGATTTCTTGTATTCATTGTTGTTGACAGCAGTCTCAATCAAATTCCTAAAAGGTACAATTGTAGGAAGGATTAATTTATCTGGTGCTTATGAATGTAATATTATCAATCTATTTATTTAGAACAGATAATTTATTCAACAGAGGCAAATTGGACTTTAATAGGTTTATTAATATTGATTATTTGGATTTGTGTAAATAAAAATTTTGTGGATAGAAAAGGTTCAGGATTATTTGTTAAATCAAAAATACTACTACTACAATAAATACTACTATTGATGATTAATAATATATTTTTTTTAGTAAAAGTGAAATTATAACACAAATTACTATAATAATTAATGAATCAAACAAAATCATTGATTTCTTCACATTGTTATGATGAGTGCTGGATGAAGTAGTTGTGGAGGAAATATTTGTAGGAGGAATACTTTTAGGAATGTTTGTATCATTATTATAATTTGTGTTATTATTGTTTGTATTATTATTTTTATTATTTGTATTTGATTCATTTTCAAATTCTGTAATTATTAAAAGAAAAAAATTTTTTCAAAAATAAATAAATTGTTATTAGTTAGATAATGATAATAATAATAAAAATATACCTGGTTTTGATTTTTTCTGCTCTCCTTCATAAATAAATGAAAACTTTGGCATATCCATATGACTGTCATTTCCATTATTCTTACTATTATTACTATTATCATCTGGTAATAGCTCAATATTGGTTTTATCACAACTAGAACATTTCCAATTACGGGATCTAAAATCAAAAGTTCATAAATATATTTTAATAATATTTATGCCATTTCTCCATTTCATTTAGATGATAAAATTTATTATTTACCTTTTTGCTAATATTTTTCTCTCTGACTCTGTATAATCAATTCCACCAATTGCTCCATTTGCTAGATTTGACAAAAATATTAATAATCATTCCTTTTATCTTTTGATTAAAATAAAAATTAATATCATACATTTTGTTGTCAAAAATCCAATTAAAGCCAAAAGAACTGTACGAACTATATTTATATATATGTATATGTACACACACACATATGTAGTAATAAAATTAATGACAAATTATTAATCACAGTAATAATATTGTTATTATTGTTATTATCATTATTATACTTACTTCCCCAAGCTGGTAACCAATATTCAGGATGATATCCAGTTATACTAAGGCATATTTTCTTATTAAGTTCAAATCTACCATTTTGCTAAAATTAAAGGATCAGAAAAATCTAATATCAAATATATCAATCTTAATATATACATAGAAAGCACATAAAATAAATACAGTCATAAGCATCAGATTTGGTGGCTTGAATGGATATTCAGATGGCAAAAGTATTCGTCCATGATATCTATTATTAATTAAATATTTTTAACATTTTTATTAAACTAATTACAATTAATTACAAATTTTTTTAAATTTGTAGAACCTTCTTTACCTTCCACCTTCGAATTCTGTTGAATCAGGTCCACGAATTACAAAATGCCATTCAAATAAATTATTCTACAAAAAAAAAATTATACAATATTTACTAATTATCTCCAAATAAATAATCATTTTTTTACCAATTATCATTATTATTTACCTCAAGTGGTTGGGCTGTATAATCGCTACAAGTATCTTGTTGTAATTCGCGAGCCTCTTTTAAAAGCCTTTTAACAGCTTTTTGTTTTTTGATTATTTATATTGAATTGAATATATTAAATTAATTCAAACGATTCAATAATTTTGATAATAAATTTAATTTGTTTCAAAAAAAAAAAAGAAAACCTGGACTCCTCATATTATAAGAAGTTGTTGTCGACTCCATCTTGTCTAAAGTTTTTTTTTTTCTTTCTATCAACTGAAATTTCGAAAATATTTAAACAAAATCACTTGTTCAATATTGATTGGCCTAAAACAAAATTAAATATTTATGCAACTTTTTATTATTATTGTCTCACATAATAATAACAACAAATAAAGTTAACTAGATATGCGATCTTGGATATTACTCTTTGAAACATTTCGCAACAATGCTCCTTTTTTCTTGGCCTACAGAACTTTAAAGTTATGATAATTAGATCATTGAAAGTTAAATGTTCAACCAAATATTAAAAAATTCTTGTCTAAATCAGCCATTCATACTTGTCAAAAACTCCATTACCGTCTATAAGTGCGCAGGATTAGGGATCAATGCTACACCATTGTCTGACCAATCCAAATTCTGAGGATAGTCTGTTTGAAAACATTGAAATCTAGAAACACACAAAGGAGGAATCCAATATTACAAGTATGATTGATTGGCCCGTCTATACACTGAAATATTTAAATATTCATATCCTGATGATGAACATGAACAAAAAGATTTGTAAAAAAAAATTCACTATATATGATTAAAATCAATACAAACGTTTATTTTACAACTGTAGATGAGTTTGATCATAAAAATATATGCAAAATTTGATGTTTGGGATGCTAAAAGTAACCATATTAAGCCTGGAAAAGAATTATATAACGTAACTAGTATTGATGCGGATGCTATTTCATCTGCATTTGGTGTTGAAATACTTGAACGTTTTGGTTCTAAAATGCTTTCCTTTTGAACTTTGTATCACTAAAAATGTAGAAGCTGTGGACGAAGAAATTTATATTTGAGTTGTAATTTAAGTTTTTAATTATATTCAAGTTTATATTTGAGTTTGAATTTAGACATATTAATCACTTAATTTAATAAACACTCACTTCACTTGTAAAATTATATTTATTTATTTAATTAATGATTTACATAATTGATTATCACTTCCTCAACTTTTTATTTCAAGATATAAATAAAATAAATTTAAATTGAAGTTTTAAAATTATTATTAATTGACTCATTTTTGTTTCTGACTTAGACAAATATTTTTGATAAAGAACCAATGCAGCAACATTGGTCAAGTTATACAATTAAATTTTTACAGGAACTAAGTAATCACGTAAAAGATTATTCCATAAAGCCTTAGGGAAAAGCATTTGATATGGTACAATATTATTAAAAAATTCTTTTTTAGAAATATCCTGAAATCTTATTAAAGGAAGAAAATCTTTTAATGTGTCACCCAAATCAACAAAATTTTGTGATGACCAATCCTCAACATCAATGCTATTGATTTCTGGATGTCTTGCTAATCCCCATTTAAGAATATTTTCCCAAATAACCATCTTATCAACAGAAAAATCTTCTCTTTTGAGAATTTCCAATAAAATTGGTTTTTCCAATAATTTGAATTCACTTGATTCAAATAACTTTTCACTATAATCATAAAACTTTTCTAAATAGATGTTTTTCAATTCATTAAATTTTTCATTAGAATAAATCAATTGCAGAATTTTAACTGGATTTTCTTTTGTGTAATCTTCATGATTTTTAATAAAGTATTCCACCATATATTCATAAAGTAAATCAATACCAAGTTCATCTGCTGCAATTAATAATTCCAGTACATTAATTCCAGTATAATCTTCAAATTCAATTTTAGATGTATACAAAAATCTATAAATTATTAAATAAATTAAATAAATAAATAAATAATTTAACATAATAATAAATTTATTTACACTTACTTGAGAATAGTCTTGAAACATTTTTCGCTAATGTTAGCTTTCTCAATAATATAGTATTCGCCTTCTTTTGTTGCATCAGTCAATGCATTGCTAAAAAATGGACAGTGAGCTGATAGTATAGATGCATGTGCATGAACTTCTTTAATATTTGGTTCTACACCAAGGTATATTTTTACATCATAAAAATCCTCTGTATTTAATAAGCTTTCATTTTCATTAAAATAATTTTCAAATATTGAATTCATTTTTTTTTCCAAAAAAAATTTTTTGTGCGAGAACGAGAAACCAATCACATATTATTAATCTTACAAATTATAAAAAGGGGTTCCAAAATAACACCCCTCTCCCCCAAAATTATATGGGAACTAACTTTCTGCATTTTCATTATAATTTTTTCTGGAATAAAGCGAATCTAAAGTCAGAACTCGTTAATATGATGCTTTGATAAACGAATATACAATATAAAGCGATGCCTTTTTATTATCTATGGTGCAGGACACCTAGTCCCTACAACTTTTTGCGCCACAGCGACAGATTTGGGAAAAAATTCCCAATCAAAAATGCAATAAAATTTTTACAGTCACGTGTTTTAAAAATAGATTTGGCACGTTGCATTCTCTTTATTAGTATCACGTGATAAAAGATCTGCAATACAGATTTCAAAATTTTCAATTCTTCCAATTCGTTCATTTTTAATATAAAAAATTTGTGTGTAACACGTCACTTTGGGGGATTAACATAGTAAATTTGTTAAACTTGTGCAACTTTAAGGCTTAATTCCCCCACAACAACATGACATATCAACAAAATGAAAATGTCATTTTGTAGAAAAAGGTCTTAGCTTCAAAATGACATCTTGTTTTTTTGGTCACATATTTCCATTTTTGGAGGAGTTAAAGGATTTGCAAGACTAATAAAAGTTGTAGGGACTAGGTGTCCTGCACTATATAAGCCGATTTTATTAAAAAGATTTTTTTTTTGTGAAAATGTTGAAATTTCTGGGGTAGGCGTTTGGATACAAAATTCTGATTGGCTAATTTGAATTTCACGCGCGTGAATTTCATATAATGGGTTGTGTTTATCAATCAATCAATTTTTTTAAAAAGAAAATACACTTTAGATACTCAATTACTATTAATTATTATTAAAAGAATGGTAGTTGTATTATTAATAAGTTTTTTCTGAAAAAAAAATTTTTTCTACAATTTAAGGAAAAATGAAAAATGATGATGCATCTGAGAGGTATGTAGAAGAATTTTACAACATTGAAAATCCTTATGAAAAGTATCTTAATTGTTTTATAATAAAAATGATCTTTATGCATTTAGTATCATACATTCATTCATTATTGATGTCAATCAATGATCAAAAATCATTTTACAGTGAATGAAATAAGAAATATGCCTTGACCAAACCAACAACCAAAGAGCTGTCTAGTGAGGTACACAAATATCTAGATGATCTTTATAAAAAATAATTGTTGGTTGTTAACAAATCTTTCTGTTGATGTTTACATCACTTTAGTGACTGGTTCTTCTTTTTACAGCCAAACTTAAAAGATATAAGAGATTCTATTAATACAACTGATGAAAGATCAGGAAAAATTTATGATAAGGAAAATTATTATGATATAGATTATATTAGATTTGCTTTATATGCAATGTCAGTTTGTGTTTTTAATTTTATACAACAGGAGATATGTTACACTAGTTCACTAAATATATATTAACTTTACATAGGCCAAGAAGTACAAGAGTGGAGGGTTAAAAAATGTCAATTGGAATCATGGTATAGTTGCCACATGTGGTCACCAATAAGGATTTGGAAATTTAAAGGGGCTTTTGGTTGTTTGGTAATTATCTAACTTATCATTTTAAAATTTTTCTGAGCATTAGTTTTTTGGAATAACTTTCATGATATTTCAGTGGCAAAAGTGTCAGCATTGCTATATCTGTGGTAAACATGGGAACTGCAGCCACAATTCGATTTTTATATGCTGCAATTAGTTACAACAAGTTGCAATTGATTAGAGGGCTATCTTTAATCTGTGGCAAGAAACATAGATATGGTGCGAATCATCTAAAGACATCACGTGCTGCGCCACTTGCCGAAAATTTTGGGCATGCTGCAACAAAACCAGACAAAGTGAACATTGGTATTACCAAGGATTTCAGGGATCAAAATTTAGTTATCTTTAATGCAATTATAATTAACAGTTTTATAATATCCCATTTGTGATATATAGAACTACCCCTATATAAAAATAGTTAATATGAAATTAATTTATATCAGGTCTACTATGGAACCCAAGAATTATAGCACCATTAGAAGTATTTTGAAGAAAGAACAAGGTGAAAAAATTGCACCTTAAATTTTCAAAATAAATGATACTCAGACACTGGAAGCTTATCTAAGAAAAGAAAAGATTACTTATGAAATTTACCAAGAAGAAAGAAAAATCATAATTAATAAAAGAACATTGACACAAAACCATGATGAATCTAGAAAGAAAATCAGAAGAAAAATAATTTACCACCTAATTCAGGTTAATTAATTCCTTAATTTTTTTTCTTTTTTCTTTCTTTCTAACAGATAGGCAAAACTTCCTATCATCAACACTATTATTCCTCCTATTAATAAATGAGGCAAAGAATTAGTTGAGTTGGTTTGTTGCAATTGTTCTTTCTTTTTCTCGGCAATGATTTGGCTAAGTTCTGATTGGGCTAAAGATGTTTTATTATTGCTTTTTAAATAATTAAATACTTGTTGTAATTCAGCTTTATTATTATTATTTATGTTAAAATTGTCATTGTGAAAAAATATTATTTAAATTTTTTTAATTTGATAAAATAATCTAGGAATATTCAATAATAGAAAGAAGAATCATACTAAGCCTAAGTGAATGGATTTTTTTCTCTCGAATTTTCAATTCTAGTAGCTTTATTTTTTAGTTCTTTTTCTTCTTTTTTTAAAGTTATAGGAGATTTCTTGATTTTTATTGTCCATTGAATAGAATTGGTTGGAGTCACAGGTCTTCCTTCAATAATATTTTTCAACCTTCTATGATTCTCATCTACAATTGTCTAAAAATTGGATTTGTTATAACTCCAAAATAAAAGGAATTTTAAAACAATTGAAAAGTGAACTTACTAGAAATTTAATCATGTATTTAAAAGCATCTTTCAGTTGGTCAAAATCAGCAACATCTGATGGCAGCCTAAAACTCATAATCTTATAAAACAGGTATAATTCTGGTGCTGGAATTGTCATGACATATATTTCTGTTTCAAGCCCTAATTTTTTTTTAAAAAACTTTTTTAGTTTATTATTTTGTGTTAACTAGCCATCATCATAAATAATATTTACTTGAAGTTATAACTCCATAGACTTCTAACTCTTTCACCTGTTCACCCTTATCATGTTCATCTAAATAATCATATAGCCTTGAGATTTGGTCATGCATTAATATAGAAATTTTCTTAGTATCAGTTGTTTTTTTTCTTTTTCCATTAATAGAATTAAACTTGGCATTCTCCACTACAAGTATTTCAATCGTTCTCTTCTTATATGACAATTTTACATCTGGTATTAGTGATTTTCTTGTATTTTTATCATCATAATCTTGATTTCTGCGGTATTTTTATTAGCATCATGTTGACTGTCAATAAAATAAAATAACATAAATTAATACTACTGATTCTAAAATATAAAAATTCAAACAAAAAAATCTACCTGTTTATTTTAACTGAATAGTCCCTAGTCCTAAATAAATTAAAGCAATAGTGTATATAAAACTTTTTATCACACTTTTCAAATCTAAATCAAGACTTTGATATGTTTTATATTTATTTATATATTCCTTAACACTTTCAACATTTGAAATTCCTTTTAGATCCTCTAACATCTGATTTATATCTTTATCAGTTAATGTGTCACAATATGAAACCTTGAAATCTTTTTTATATAGTTGAGAAATTTTTTTAAAAGCCTCCTTCTTATTTTTCCTTTCATCCACAAGATTTATAATTCCCATTTTTTTTTTTTTTTTTTTTTTTTTTTTATAAAGGCAATATCCTGCTCATATAATTTTATTAGAATAAAGTAAATATAATAAAAATAATTCACAAAATAAATTCC